GATCAGTCCCATGCTGGCCTCCCAGACATCAGTCTGGGGTCTAAGATCTCCCTGTTGTTCAGGTTATCTGTTTCTGTGGGTTAAACTAGCCCAGTCTTGACCCCTTTGCTCATCAGTCCTCCCTCTCTGTCACTGGATGCCAGTTCAGTTCAGTGTTTAGTTGTGGGTGTCTGGCTCTAGTTCCATCAGTCACTGGATTAAGGTTCTGTTTTCCAGACTCTCTGGCAGTGGGATTGTAGGCTGGCACTGCCCTGATCCATGTCTAAAATCCATATATGAGTGAGTTCTTTTTTTTCATTTGCTTTCTTTTGAAAGGTCTCATGTGCCACAAACTCACTCTGAAACTGAGGGTGACCTTGAACTCCTAATCCTCCTGCTTTCAACTGCCTTTATTTACCCAGTAGTACACCATAGAAAACTATATTTGGTTTTACAGAATCTTTCTATATAGTGTCATATGTCCACTAATGTCCTTCATATACCCTATGACATTATTTTATGGTTAAACTATGTTCATAATAATTTAGTGTATACCATTAACATATAGACAGCCTAGTTGGAATTAGTGAGTTACTGAAAAAAAGATCTGGGTGTGGTCTCAGCTTTAATTTCAGGATTTGGGAGGCAGAGGCACAAAGATCTCTGAGTTCAAGGACAGCCTGTGTACATAGATATCTCCAAGACAGAAAGGGCTATATAGTCACAGGTTGTTTCAATACAAGAATACAAAGTAATATTTTCATTATGGTAGTTTCTTTTCTTCTTTTATTTGCTTAAATTTATTTTATGTGCATTGGTGTGAAGGTGTCAGATACCCTGGAACTGAAGTTACAGCCAGACATGAGTTGCCATGTAGATTCTAGGAATTGAACCCGTGTTCTCTGGAAGAGCATTCAGTGCTGTTTACCCCTGAGCCATGTCTACAGCCACTCCATATGGTATTTTCATATTTAGTCAGGACAGATTCTTCCCCTGTGCCTCCTCTTCCTCTTGGTTCCTTCATCCCATCTAATCTCTTCCTGCCTTCCTTGTACCCATCTTTCTGCAGCCCTTTCTTATTTTAGATTTATTTATCTTTTTATTCGTTTACCCAGTGTTCTTCCTGCATTTATGCTTGGAACCAGACGAAGGCACTAGACCTCATTATAGGTGGTTTTTGAGTTGTCATGGTGTGGCTGGGAATTGAACTCAGGACCTCTAGAAGAGCAGCCAGTGCTCTTAGCCTCTGAGGCATCTCTCGGCTGACCCGTCCAGCAGGCCAGGTTATTTAGTAGGTCTCGAGTGGGTGTCACCTGTAGGAGTCAAACAGGGGGGAGAGAGAAGTGGAAGCCAAGCGCGTAAAGAAAGAGTCAGTCTGAGTTGCGTCAAGGCTTCGTTTATTAGCTAGCAAGGTTTCATTTTTATAAAGCAGTTTAGGCAGGGCAGGGGATTAGGACAGGGGCAGTGGAAAGTACCGGGCCCAGGTACAGGAGGAAATATTTCTTATAGAACACCTTATGTTTAGCCTGTTCCAGGAACCAATGTATGCATGACCAGTTTGTTCATAATAACTTTTCAATTCAAATTGTTTCAATTCAAACTGCCACTTAGTTCTGCTACAACTTAAAGGTCTCTGGGGCTCCAACACTCGGCCCCTCTGTAGTCATTTCTAATGCTGCACTTTCATTATGCACACTTCCAAGTGGTGTTTTTCTTTGTTCATTTCAGAAGGCTGAAACATAATACCCACTGAACACTGGGTATTATGTGTCCAATCCATATGTGTTACCACTGTGCTACAGCTCAACTCCTGGATATTTTTTCTCTTACTTTCTAGATTATAATAATATCATCCCCCAATTTCCTTTCCTCTCTCAAAATCCCTCCCTTATACCACCGCTTGATCTTGATCTTTTTCACATTCATAGGCTTTTGGTTGTCATTGCATGGGTGTGTGTGTGTGTGTGTGTGTGTGTGTGTGTGTGTGTGTGTGTGTGTGTGGTGTGTGTGTGGTGTGGAACATCTGCTTGCACAGTGACATCCTGAGACTGTTAATAAAGTTAAGCCTTGTGAGCCTGTAACACAAGCTATGTTATGTCATCTTTTCAGGAATATCCACATTGTTTCTATAGTGGCTGGATCAATTTACTCTCCCCCAAACAAGAAGTGTTCCTCTTAGCCCACATCTTTACCAGCATGAGATTTCCTTGTTTTATTGATCTTAGCTACTCTTACTGGGTAACATAAAACCTCGAAGTAGTTTTAATTTGTATTGACATTATTGCTAAATATGGTGTAGGTATATTTTGGGGGGGGGGGGATAGGCATTCTTTGTGTTCTCATAGACCCGGTTGAACAGCCTGGTAATCCAGGCTGTCCTAGAACTGAGAGATACACCTGCCTCTGTGTCCCAAGTGTAAGCATTAAGGCTACATGTTGCCACACCCTCTTAGGGATGCTTGTCCTTGTGGCTCATTTAGATTTTTCCTGATGTGTTTTATAGATATTTCTTCACTGTCAGTTCATGCTCTGTGACAAAACTTTTTCTGTAGAGATGCAACAAATATCTTCTCACCCCAGATACAGAACCAATGACTGAAAAAAAAAAAATAACTGAAACACCTGGAGTTCAATTTTGTGAACCATGAATTTTGTTAAGATTCCTTCCAGGTTTATTTTTACCTGTTTTTAAAAGATTTATTTTATGTGCATTGGTATTCTGCTTGTGTGTATGTCTGGGTGATGGTGCCTGACCAGAGGAACTACAGTTATTAACAGTTGTGGGATTAATTTTGGGTGCTGGGATTGAACTCAGGTCCTCTGCAAGAGCAGTTGGTGCTCTTCACAGACCAAATATTGTTTCCCCTCCCCAGAGACAGAGTTTCTCTGTGTATCCCAGAATATCCTGGAACTCACTCTCATACAAGACTGGCTTAAAACCCAGAGATCAGCCTACCTCTGCCTCCAGAGTGTTTACAATAGAGACATGGATCACTATCACCTGGCCCTTACAGGTTGATAAACTGGAAAAATTTACCACAGTATAGAGTAGTCAATAGTTTACTTAAATACATTCTATATTATTTTATGTGTGTATATATGTTGCATTAATTCATACTTACCTATTTATCTATTTTTATGAAAGAGAAAACCTTGAGGATGCATAGCCACAACTTGGGAAGAGGTGGGGAGTGGAAAGAATATGAAATTGTATGTGTGTGTGTGTGTGTATTCATAAATGCACACTTAAGTATTTAGGGACATTTTTTCTGTGTAGTTCCAGCTGTCCTAGAAAGTGTTGTGTACATATGTGTAACCAGAAAGTCAAACAGATCCCACTGGCCCTGCCTTTTGTGGTTTACGATGAAAATTAGACCCTATGCCAAGGTTATTAAAATATATTATATACAATATTTTTCTCAAAAGCCAGTAATAACTCTCCTGTGTATCACAAAAATTGGCTGAACAGGTAAAGGCAAACAATTTGTAACTTGTTCACTTTCACTCAATTGTGACTCTGTAAACCTCGCATGAGCTTCACCTGTGCCTGCTTGGTTAAATTTGCATTCAATTTAGAATGTAAATTAAATTACCTGTAGCTATCCAGAAAGCATCCTGGAACTTGGCCCAGTAAACAGGGGCCGTCCCTGAGACAGACTTCCTGAACAAGTAAAGGGTCAGATGGATGTTACCTATTTATACAGCTTTGAGTGGCCGGACATTGGGAAGCAAACTGATGTTTCTTTGGTACTGATTAAATTCCATTTAGTTCCTGACTCAAAGAGAACAACCTTGTCTACTGAAAACCCATTTAGCCACCATCAGGCCTATGCCTTTAGCACTAGGCAGGAGATTGGGGGCAACTGTGTGTACTTGGTAAATCATATAATTGTGGGACCAAAGTGAGGCTCTAGGTGACTCAGGTAGAATGACTGGGTGTTGTCTCCATTGTTGAACGTGTGACAAACAAGAAGGGAAGATGTAAGGCTGATCACTCTCTCCAATATCAAAATGGGGTTTCCAATCTCATCACAACGTTAGAGAGAATGTGTAATCTCTGAGTTTGAATTCAGCCTAATCTGTAGAGAGAGAAATGAGCCAACAGGTGCTATATAGAAAGCACATGTGTCAGTTAAACAAAGAAAAATAAATGAAGAAAGTAGGAAAGCAATAAGCTAGCCAGCAAGCAAGGAAAAATGAGAGACCTAACAAGAGAAAGTAGGAAAGCAAGGAAGGGAGAAAGAAAGAGGGAATGACAGCAATAGGGAGGAAAGCAGAAGATCCCTGGGAAGCAAGCTAAGAAGAGTCAAACCTCCTGATCAGGACAGCAGCAAGGGGAGGCCAGTTTACTCCTGGACTGCAGTCCAAAGAGGGCACCAGTCCCTTGTTGTGGCCAAGGTCCTGTTAGTTTTTAAGTCCTTAGGAGTCTGGCATTTAGTTTTCTGCCCAATATAAAAAGAAGTCCTCAAGTGGATCCTCAGGGCTGGGGCCACAATGTGGGAGGGTCTGCTGGATATGAGAGGATAATGGGTGAAGAGACTGGTAGGGATGGATAGATAAGACATTTTAAGGTCAAGTTTTTGAAGTAGAGCTTCCCTCATTTGGGAGAATCTAGTCATTATGGGAGAGACTGCTGACATCCAGAGTGAACTGGCCAAAAGGCTCCTGTGTTAACGGTGAACTTTAGGTAGAGACACCTGTGATTTCCTGCCCCATGGTCCCTTTACTCCTTGGTTAAAGACAGAGTGTACCAAGAAAAGAACAGAAGGACTGGGATGTCTATAATCTGGGTGAGATTCCTCTTCATTACCAGCCTCCCTGGGCTGACAGTCTTATTAACACAAGAGCTGTTTGTATGTTTATTCCACTGTTTAGAAAACTTAGAGCCTGAGGAAACAGTATGACAGGCAGAGAGAAAATGTACCATCCCTGGTGCACAGCAAGTTTGGAACAAATTTGCAAATGCTGGGAAGACTTGAGTGAAACCTGAGGATTATGGAACTCTTCTATTTTCTTTCTCCTAGGTTGCCCAGTAGAGTACAGCACTTCAGTAGGATCACACCCTAGTATGCTTCCCCATCCACTGGGTCTCCAGAAAGATCCAGTCAGTTCAAGAAACTTAGGGCACCAATTGCATCCAGATTTACAAGTGTCTTCAAATGCACACTTGGAAACAGGTGTCCAGGTGCCTGATGATCCTGAAAAGAAATCAAGTCTGCATATGTCTCAAAGTCCCCTAAAGCACTCAGGAGCTCCAATGCAACCAAGCCCCTCCAATCATCCATCCCATGTAAGCAAACAGAGTCTTCAAAAATCACAAAGTCTTCAAGAAGAGCTACTACAAACAACTTTTAAATGGCTGTTAGATTCTAAAAGTAGCCTCTGTCCACAATTGACCTCAGTACCACCACCAGAACCAAGACTCCCTGTACATCAAGGTAGCCCAACATTGGGAACCAGGTCAACACACCCTAATCACCAGATGCTCTCAAGCTCCTCAGTGAATTCTGCTTGCAAGTGTTCCTTAGGCTCTATGTTTCCTTCCTATCAATATGGTGACAAGCAAGTTTGCAATGCAGTTCCAAGGAAGCAACGGAAGGAACGCACTGTGTACACCAAGGAACAAAAGCTACTCCTCCAAGAACATTTTGATCAATGCATGAACCCAAGCTTTGATCAACGCAAGGAACTGGCACTAATGGTTGGTGTGACCGAGCAAGAGATCAAGGTCTGTATTGCTCTTGTCCCTTACTCACTAAGCAAAACTAGCTGTGGTACCTGTACAATTATCAGAGTCCCATTGACCCTTAGTGATTCCTCAGTGCTTGGAGCAGCATGGGACAACTGTGGATAGTGGACCTATGTGTATCCATTGTTGTGCCTGGTTATTCTTTTTCAATCTGGGTACCATTATGGAGCTACATTATCATTTTGGCAGAGTGTCAGGGACCCAGACATAAGGGACCGTTGTAAAACCCCAAACATCCTAGCTAAGGATTCCCTAGTCCTTTTATGTCAGATCATAAAGCATTCTACCTTCCAGTCTTCTTTCTAAGCCCCAAGACATCTGTGTTTATGTGGGTAGTTGCTAGAGACGGTTTCCATACAGCATGTTCAACTAGGCACACCAGTCTTCTTCTAACATCTTCTTTGTCTTTCCAGAACTGGTTTAAGAACCATCGTGCAAGGTACAAACTGAAGAAGTCACAGACTGCTCAAGAAGGACAGCCCGAGAAACTCTAAAGCTGCTTCTCGGTCAAACAATCGCCATGGTAACATATCTGTCCTTGTCTCTGCCAATGTAGAGTCCAAGTCTCCAGGCAAATCCATTTGGGCTCCATTCCCCAACTCAACCACAGCCTGGAAGCATCACATCTGGGCACAGAGCAGTGTGCGATGCCGCTTTCCCTATTTTCTACCAGGTGTGATTTAGGAACATCCACAAGAACATCTCAAATTGCCATGGAATCAAGGAGGAGAAGTCAGCTGTCAGTGCATGAGAACAAGTGTTCATGTCTCCATCAATGTCCCTGTCACTGATGGTCCTGAGTGATCAGGCCTATCAGTAGTTAGCTATCTTCCTGAAACCAACACCTCTAATAATTGCCTCAGCGATTCCCTCATCTTGATCAGGCTCTGGGGGAAATTCAGCATATGGGACTAGTTGGCCAAGACCCCAATACAGGAACCACTGGTCCATTTCTATCAAGAAAACCTACAGACCTAGTTCAATCAGTAACATTTCAAGACACAACAGAGTCAGCTCCAGTGATAAAATCCAGTATGAGCCAAAGCTCTTGTACCTCTTCCCCTAGCAGATTCAGCTGCAGCTTCAAGCTACCACCAAAGGTGAAGGCTGCAGCCACAGCCAACGTCCTGCATGGAGATGATACTCACAGCAACCTGCATTTCCTGACTACTTCTTGGTTTACGGCCTCTAGAGAATCAACATCTCCCTAGATAACGTATTATTTCCCAAGTGTGCTGTTCCCTTACTTTGTCGAGGCCCACTCACCCAGAGACTATTTCTAGGAACTGTTTGGTTTTTGGGAAGACATTGCTACAAAAATTAGAGGTGGCATAGTAAAAAGGTGGGCTCAGGACATTTCTCTATCTTTATATGAGTGTTGGGGGTTGTTACCTTTTTAGAACTGAGAATCCCCAGGTGAAGTCCTGGCTTTTATTCATGCACTTAGCCTCCTTCATGTGGTTATTGGCTGCTTTTATAACTCTGCTCCATTCATTGTTAACCTTTGGCCGTTAATGTTCCAATTTTATTTGGAGACCATGTAAATAAGGTCTTGGATTTCTAGGACCAGCAGTTAAGTGGCTGGGAATAGGTGATTTTCTTGCTGATCATATTGGGCAGAGTTCTACCAAGTCCCCATTTGTGGGCTTCCTCAAGAGGTTAATGTCATGTCATTCCGAATTGGGGTTTCATAGATTATATAATTGCTAAATCTTGTCCTGGCTGGTTTTTATTGTGTATAGTATATTGTATTTTGTTGAATTTTATTAATCACAGAAATGTGCCATTAAATTCAATTCTATGTTTTAAATGTGTGTCATATATTTATTGAGCTGGGCACTCCATGGTCCCTTTTTATCTACATTTTGAACACTGTGGCATTCACTAATGGTCTCAGGCTGCAATGTTCCCTGGACCTTGGGAGCAGGACTTGTGTTATAGATGGGTCAGTTGTAGCTGGATACTATATGATTACTTCATATCTGACTTTTTCTGTAGTGGTCTCTATTTGTTTCAAAATGATTGAGAGGTAAATGCTAAACTTTTTGGGGAGTATAAAGATTTAAATTGCAGTTAGTCATTCTACTGGTTTAGGAAAGTGGCAGCAATTCATTCTCTTAGGGTTCATGAACTCAGCAGCTTCAGGTAATAGTTAGGTTTACAGTACCCAGGCAACAATTCCCTCCTATTTCCCAGACCTTACACCCAATTATGACTGTTTGGTTCACCTAAGATTTAAGAGTCACAGTTGCATCCATTGGGATGTGTGCCATGATTGTGTTATGTGACAACTATTCCTGAGGAGATGTGAACAAATGTTTCCTCACCCTAGGTAGGGGGAGATGACTAAAGTACAGGAATCACCAAAGGCTAGGCTGATTTGACAATGATTTCTCTTGGGGATGTGCATCAAAGTATGGGTGAAAGGTTTTCTTAGAGGAGCACAAATCACTCAAATCCCAAAGATAGTTATGTCGCCTAAGCCTAGCTCATGACAGCTGAAAACCTGGAGCGCACTGCATAGCCCACAGATAGTTCATGACAAGTTGGAGAATGTCCTGTAGCTGCAATTTTCTTTGTGAGACCAATCAGCTCACAGATAAAGACACACAGACTTATTATTAATTATGAATGCTTGGCTTTAGCTTATGCTTGTTCCAACAACTCTCTTCATTTAACCTGTCTCTGTTCATCTGTGTTTTGCTTTTGGGGCTTTTTTAACTTCTGCATTTCCTCCACTTCTGAAACATGTTTATCTTTGTTCTTCAGAGCCTAATCTCCTACTACTACATATTCTCCCTGCCCTAGCTATACCTCCTCCCTTGCTATTGGCTGTTCACCTTTTTATTAGACTAATCAAATAAGTGCCCTAGGCAGACAAATAAAACTGCAACATATCTACAGGCTTGGAACTTTCACCTCTCCTTCAAATACCCAACTCTTCCATTCATCTCTCCCCCTTGTTTTGTGAGACAGAGTCTCACTGTACATCTCTGACATGCCTGGAACTGGATACTTAAACCTGTGAAAGACATCTTTACACAGTTAAACAAATATTCCACAACAGTGTACTTTCCTGGTTCTCAGGTATTTCCTGCTTCTTCCAGGGAGCATGTATGTATACAGGCTCTCACTGTATAGCTCTGGCTGCCCGGGAATAGGCTATGTCAGGCAGGAGAGCCTCAAACTCAACAGAAATGGTCTTCGTGTTGTGATGAAAGTCATGCACTCCCACTCTGGTCACCTCCCTTTCTAATTCCCGGTGGGCATCCTGCTGTCTCACCTCCCGTTTCACATTCTCTGCCATGAGTTTCCCTCAGGATAGAAGGTTTCCATCTGGAACAGTGGTTCTCAGCCTTCCTAACGCTGCAATACTGTTACCATTTCTCATGTTTTGGAGAACCCCAACCATAAAACTCATTTTGTTGCTGCTTCATAAGTGTCAATTTGCTACTGTCTTGAATTATAACATAAATACCTTTGTTTTCTGATGGTCTTAGTTGACTCCCATCAAATTGTCATTTGACCCCCCCACACACAAAAGGCCAGAACCCATGAGTGAGAACCGTGTTACAGGAAGGAGTATTTAAAAGCTGAGTATTGCCGGGCGTTGGTGGCGCACGCCTTTAACCCCAGCACTCGGGAGGCAGAGGCAGGCGGATCTCTGTAAGTTCGAGACCAACCTGGACTACCAAGCGAGTTCCAGGACAGCCTCCAAAGCCACAGAGAAACCCTGTCTCGAAAAACCAATAAAATAAAATAAAAATAAAAGCTGAGTATTGCTATGATCAGTGATTTCACCTCTGAGTAGGACTGTTGACTGCTTTTCTCCCTCGGCAGCTTGCATGGCACCTGTCAATACTTTGCAAACCAGTTCTCAGGGAGAAGGCATTCAGGTCAGACCCAGCTCCATTCCTCTAAATCCCATGTCTAAGTGTGTTCAGGGGACTCCTAGACTCGGAGTTACTTCCTGATTCCACACAGCTACTCTCACTCCTGGAACAAGAACTCTTGGTCTTATCCCCAAATAAACTCCATTGCAAGGAACAGGTGACCATGCAGTCAAGGGCCGGGGCATTGTGGGCCTAAGGGATTGGGTGCCCCTTTGTCTTTAGTACTAAAGGTCATATTCTTGTTTTGGTCTATGGGTAGAGTCAGCGGTTCACTGCAGTTTAGACAATTTTTACCTGATGATTTCATTGTGCCCTGGCTGAGTTTTGATGAATTTTTTCTTTTCTGTGGGTGGGGCTACCTTTGAGTTCTTGTCACTCCTCCTTTCAAAGTGTAGGGGTAACAAACAGAAGCTTCCACCCAACCAGGATCCTTTGGTTTTTTTTTTATTTGCACTTGTTCTAATAATCTTTCGACAATGATGGATGAACATTTTTTTAAAACTCACTACTTTTGTCCCATTAATGCTGGTATAATAGCTCCTGAGTGTTGGACAGGAGTTAGAAGTTCCTCTGGGAGTTTTCTTTTCTTAGATCAATATTTTCCATTTTGGTGATCTATAAGATAATAATAATATACATATATATTGAGTTGAACCAGTGTTTCCATATGCTGCCTAGGCTGGCCCGCCTTATTCCTCCTGCTTCCTGAGTGTTGAGATTATAGGTCTGTTATAAATGTCTGGGTAAATGTGAACTTCTTCTTCTGTTGCTCTTCCTCCTGGTCCTTCTCCTCCTCCTCCTCCTCCTCCTCATCTTCCTCCTCCTCCTCCTCAACCTCCTCCTCCTGCTCCTGCTCCTTCTTTCTTTTGGTTTTTTTTAGAGACAGGGTTTCTCTGTATTGCTTGAAGGCTGCCCTGAAACTCACTCTGTAGACCAGCCTGGCCTTGAACTCACAAAGATCAGCCTGCATCTGCCTCCTGAGTGCTGGGATTAAAGCCGTGTGCCACCAACGCCTGGCTATGTGAACTTCTTTTGGTAGCTTATGTGCTGTAAAGATATCCCATAGTTTCAGTCATCTTTTTCATTAAATGCAGTACTTTTTGAGCAAAACAAGCAAAAATGGCTCTAAAACCCTTCTGTAGCCTTAGCACCCCCATCCACTCAAGGCAGACACATTCCCAGGAACGTACTTAATTGTTTAAAACTCTTTTTAATCTGGGCTTTAAAATGCAATCCATTCATCCCAGGATTTTGCAGATTGAGGCAGGCTAATCTGTACTAGTTTCAGGTCTGAGTGGTCCACATAGTGAGACTGTTTCATACAATTTTAAAAATTCATTGCCTATTATTAGATCATATGTTAATTACATAAGATATAAAATATTTTCTTCTACCAATTTAAAAAATGTGCTCTTATTCAAATTTCTTTCTTTTCTTCCTTCCTTCTTTCATTTATTTATTTATTTATTTCCTATTTCCTCATTTGAGATAATGTTTTTCTGTATAAATGTCCTAGCTGTCATTGGACCCCCTTGGTGCTACAGGATGGCCTCAAACTCAGAGATGTCCCTGCCTCTGCCTGTTGAGTGCTGCAACTAAAGTTGAGAACCATCATTGCCCATCCTATTACTTGTTTTTTATTTTTTATTTTTTGAGACAAAGACTCTCTACAAACAGACCTGGCTGTCCTAGAGATATTTTTGTACATCAGCCTGTGTTGACTGTCACAAACATTCTGCTTTCTCTACCTCCTGAGCTCTGGGACTAAAGCAGTTATCCACCATGCACGCCTGTTTAATACTGTCCAAAATATTTGCTCAGTTATTTGTGTTCCATGTTTTGACAATATCCCTTTAGCTCTGTACTTCATTTTTAAATTTCAAAATAAAATCTACTTTTCTTTCCTTTATTCATTTTTAAACCATTATTCCTTTTGTATTCCTGTTTGTACTTGAACTCTTTTGTCAGAACAAGCCGTCCCAGGACTCACAGAGATCCATCTTCCTCTACCTCCCCAGTGGTAGCATTAAAGCTGTGTGTGTCACCAGGTCTGATCGGGAGGCTTGCTTCTGCAGTTCATTTCATAATGTTTTGTTGTATGTGGTAAATAATACCCCACTGAGAGATCTTGATTTGTGACAAAACTTTTCCTGGAGAAAAACAACACACAAATGTCTATTCATCCCAGACAGAGAATCAGCCATAGAATAAAGAACAGACGCTAAGTTCAATTTTGTGAACCATCAGGATTTTTTGTGTTCCTTACACATTTACTTCTATTCCTCCAGCTGCATTACACATTTTTAAAACTCTTTTTTGTTGTTGTTGTTTTGTTTTTGGATACAGGGTTTCTCTGTATTGCTTTAGAGCCTGTCCTGGAACTTGCTATGTAGACCAGTCTAGCTTGGAACTCACAGAGATCCAGCTGCCTCTGCCTCCTGAGTGCTGGGATTAAAGGCATGTACAACCAATCACCGGCTAGTGATTTATTTTTATGTTCATTGAAGTTTGTTTGTGTGTATGCCTGGGCAAGTTTGTCTGATCATATGGAGCTAGTGTTACTGAGAGTTTGAAGTGCATATTGGGTCCTGGGAATTGAACCTAGTTCCTCTGGAAAAGCTGCTGCTGATATTAACAGATCAAGTAATGAATTTCCCACTCTGAGACAAAATTTCTCTGCAGATCCTGGAGTGTCATGGAACCCAAAGCTGGGCAGGCTTTGACCTCAGAGATCTGCCTACCATTGCCTCTGATGTGCTGGGATTAAATGCATGCATTACTATTAGCAGACTCTCACAGTTTCCACAGCTGGGTAAAATAATCAGAGACTGGTGTAGTCCATTAATCATGTCAAAAATAGTAGGCTTAAATAGACTCCATATTATATTCTGTATGTATGAGGTAGCATTTCTTCATG